AAAGAAGAAAAAGAAAGAAAGAAAGAAAGAAAGAAAGAAAGAAAGAAAGAAAGAAAGAAAGAAAGAAAGAGAAAGAAAGAAAAAGAAAGAAAAAAGAAAAAGAAAGAAAGAAAGAAAGAAAGAAAGAAAGAAAAAGAAAGAAAGAAAGAGAAAGAAAGAAAGAAAGAAAGAGAATCAACTAACAACTCCAGTGAAATATGTTGCTCTGAATATATAAAATATTTGCCTCCTTGGGCATTGTGAATCTGCAAAACCTCATATGCAAACATGAAAATGGGAAAATAATTATGATTCTATGAAAGTGGGGCACTGCATAAGGAACTCCCACGAAGCACTCAATGCACATTCAATTAATGTAGTCACTTGGCCATTAGGGCAAGAAAGAGAAAATCATGGTGGATTCAGGAGAAATGAACCAACTAACAAAAAAACCTGTGTACTGCTTTGTGCAGTACTATTAGGCTAGAGAAGATGAGAAAGAAAACAATAATAACAGATGTGATTATTTAGAACTCAATATCCTAATATAATCGTGATCACACTCTACTAGGTCACCAAACTGTCCCTAAATACATTTTTTTTTATCTTCTCCAAGTGTCCTCTGATACAGGTTTTCTTCTCTTCTCCTGAATAATAATTTCTACCCTACTAACATAATATTTTGCATTTTTTTTAGCTTGAACACTAGGCAGTTGAAATTGCATTCCTGTAATTATAATTATAACTAATAGACCTTCCATTTCCCATGTCATAATTAATGTCAGGCTTTATTAGAGCATAATCATGCTGCCTTTTCACTTACAAAGCTTCTTTTATTTTCACAACATTTATGTTATATTGAATTAAGCAATAAAGAGTTCTAGAGGCCTTCTGAAAGGAAAACCTTTGGATCACAGATGCTAAGTAAACTATGAAATGTTTTTGCATTGTTTTTAAATCACATAAACTATTTTCTAATGTCCCATTTGCTCAACCTCAGTAAGTGAACCAAGAAATCAATGATCCAGCAATAAATACATTAGATTCCCTAAAAAGATTATTTAATGTGCTCTAGCAAGGATGAAAGAACTAATGACCACAAAACAAAATATTTGGAGATCATCCTTGTTGATTGCAATGTATGAATGTATGACATATACAGACACGTCAGCCAACTCAACTGCAGCAACTTAGTGGCCAGGGAAATACATTTTGATACTTGCATATTAATTTTTCACAAGCCCTGGTTACACACTGTTACTGAAGTTTTTTTTAGACCACAACCAGAAGACACAGCTTTACGACTTAACTATTCAAACAAAACAGAACTGTATCCTATTGGCAATACTGAAATTAGAATTCAAAGGTGCCATACAACTTCTTTAGCAATCCGCAATAGAATTTAGAGGGAAGAAAGGAATCTAAATTAACAGCTTCCCAAATGTTAAACAACTATCCTACAAGTCACGTGCAAGGTATTATGGTACACTTAACAGAAGACATGCCCTATATCCCTTTAAAATAGGATACTGGACAGTTACAGACAGAATGGTTATGTCCCCCACAATTCACTGTAGATGCCCTAATGCCCGGTGTGATCGTATTTGGAGATGGGGCCCCTGAGAGGTAATAAGGGCTGGATTAAGTCAGGAGGGTGGGACCCCCCATGATGGAATTGGTGCCTTTATAAGAAGAGGAAGAAGGATCAGAGCTCGCTTACTCTCTGTCACATAAGGGACACAGTGAGAAAGTGGCCATCTGCAAGGCAGGAAGAGGGTCCTTCCCAGGAATGAGATCTGCCGGCACCTTGACCTTGGGACTTCCCAGCCTGCAGAACTGTGAGAAATAAATGTGTGTTGTTTAAGCTTCCCAGTCGATGGTAGTTTATTAGAGCAGCCTGAGCTAAGCCATGGACTATGCTTTTTAGGCTACATCTGTGCTTTTGAGGGTCGAACAGTGACTGACTCTGAAGTTCATATTATGTATGGCCCACCAATAATGCATCTTCTCAAGAAAAGGTACATACGCTCAACACCATGTTATACATAATTTTACATGTTACATAAATATGAGGAAAAGAGATCTATATGGAGCTAATTACAGAATCAAGAAAATGGTTTCAATATCAATCTTGCTAAATTATACACATAAAAACATTTCTAGAACACACAGATACTCTCTAAATGTTATGCCTTATAAGTCCTTTTGAACAAATTATTTGGGTTATTTTATATGTATTTTCTATGTAAAGTTTCTTGAAATCATGGTGACTTCAAAAAACCGTGCAGCAAATATGGTTTGAGGGGGGAAGAGACGATCAGTTAAAAGGATTTGAAATTTATAGAGAAAAATGAATCCCATCTATAAAATTACTAGATAATAGGATTCTTAATTATGGACAGAAACTATGGACAAATATACGAAGTTCTAAACATGAAATTACGGTACATTTCAGGTACACTTAGTCTCCAAATTACAGAGCGTGGGAGGCAAGCATTCAAATAAAGGCCCTCATGCCGTATGTTTAAATTTTTTTCATTGTAAACCAACCAACAAACAGATAAATAAATATGTTTTCTCCTCCCATGCCTTGAAAATATACCATTCACAACAAATGGAAGGCCACATCAAATTTAGAATTTGAGGAAATCTCTAAGATTAGCCCTGGAATAGGATGGTAGGGAACCAGCTTCTAGTCTTCAGACCCCAGCTCACCCTGCTTTCTGCTTCTTTTCCTATCCCCATAACCCCACATTGCGCCACATACCATGGGGGCCTCATACGCAGGCAAAGGGGCACATGCAAGCTCCATCCTCATTCAGCTACAAACAGCTACCCAGTGGCCACTTCCTTGGACCTCGGTGTGTACACAGGAGCAACGTGCTCTGCCTTCAGAAAACTGAGCCTGGGATGAAACTGCTCAGGCTCTGGAAGTGGACTTAGGGCCAGTGAGGCAGGGAATTCATGGGTCCTTGGTAGCTGGTGCCCTTTCTAAAGGTGGAGGTCTGACCTCTGAGTAGGCAAGTCCTCTGACAATCCTTTGAACCTCTTGCCCAAGGAAGAAGGGTGGCCAAAGGGAGACTCTGAGTTGTAGGGCTCCCCCTTGCTGAGCTTCAAGAGCAGTTTATAATAAAGCAGGTAATTTTATGCAAGTTAAAAAGTCAAATTAGAGATAATTTTCTTTCCTCAACTAGAACTGATAGAAAAATTCAGCAGTTATTCCTAGAGAAGCAACAGTCCCCTCTCAAAGAACAACCATAATGTTGCATCTAAACAAGAGGAAATTACATTGTTTTCAAGTATTTCGAAGTCCACAACCATCTATTCACCAGTTACAATAATGTTAATAATGTTTTGTAGGAACACTGTACCCTTCTTATAAGCATTAGCTTTGATTTCATACTTTCTTTCAAAATTCCTGAGATACCTGAAAAGCAGACATCCTGATTTTGAGATTGTAATGGGGGGAAAGTGAGATGAGTTGCATAATTCTTCTAAAGTCTCAAGGTCACATGTTGGCAAAGTTGGTGATAATACTCATAACCAATTTACATTTCCTTACTTTCAGAAGACCTCCTTTTTTCTCCATCTTGATATACTTCTCTGGGGGTGGCGGGGTCTTTCTGGCTCAGTGAGACCAAAGCTAAGCTCTACAAATAAACCATTTTGAAACTCAGATGTTGTATTTTTGCTCTTCTTCTTCTAATAAGTAAGAATCTTACTTTTGGACCAGTGGAATCTTGCCATTAATAAAGGGAAAAACAAACAGTTTTAAGCACTAAATGAGCCAATACAAAAGAATATTACTTTCTGGAAGCATTGTTATTAAATAATGCTGCAGTAGCAAAATGGAAAAAAAAGCCCAAAATCAAGAAAAGAATTACAATGTTACGCTCTTGGACTGAGAGTGTGCCTAATTTTACAAATTACACTTTTTTGGGGACTGGTTTCATTTCTAGATACTACTTCAACCATCAGCTCAAGCCAAAGTGGTTTGATGGTCCAGCTTCACACAGAAAGATTCAAAGAAGGGATAAAATCAGAAAGATTCCACACCAAATGGTCATGAGTTACCCCATGCGACGCAAACATTAATCAAAGTGACAAACAAGTGAAAAGATGTTTTAAATGTAACTTAAAGCCCAGGCCTACCTGAATCATATGCAAAGTCTCTGGGTTCCTGTTTAATCATCAGAGGAGGAGGGAAGCTTTGGCTGGCCGCACCGCCAACCATGGTGTTGTGTTCGTACACTGGGTCGTGGTACTCCTGCTTAAAGCCTTGAGGTGGGAAGGGGATGTTTGGCTCAGACATCTGCCGTTGGTACATAGGACGGCCTTCCCTTGGCATTGTCGGCAGAGGAGGAAAAGAATTACAGGGTTCAGAAAGCTGGCGGCGAAATCTGGGAAACAGGAGAGCATGTTTTAAGTAAAAAAGTTAACAAGGAATACTCCTTAAAATACGGCTACAATTTTCAACTGTTTTGTTAATGAGCATGATACCAACTGACCTGAAGGGCAAATCTTTTTTTTTTTTTTTTAAGATTATTTATTTATTTATTTTTTAATTTTTGCTGGAGGTGGGGGTGGAGAGAGAAAATGAACTGGGGGTACGGGCAGAGGGAGAAGCAGACTCCCCACTGAGCAGGGAGCCCAATGCGGGCTCGATCCCAGGACCCTGGGATCATGACCTGAGCCGAAGGCAGACGCTTAACCGACTGAGCCACCCAGGAGCCCCTGAAGAGCAAATCTTTAATAAGGACTGGATTTCTCCTTCCTGGGTCAGTAGCACCCTGTTTTTTAATCACAATAGGACTTGTGTTCTTTGATAAACTGTCCCTTGCAGCACCATTTTGGTACACCACAGTGAGTTAAAGGTGTGATTTGAGTAGGGATAGGAGAGCAGTGTATTATTTTGTGAAAACACACCCCCTAACAAGCTAAAATGCCCAATTCTAAACAAATTGGATTATTTACCAAATTTTCAAATTAAGAGAGTCTCAAGTAATTATAGACAAGAAAAAACAAACCAGGAAAAACAGAATCTGATTCCAAAGTACATCCCCTGTCTCTTAATTGTTACCAAATTAATCAACAAACACCAAAAAATCAACCAGGTAACCTACTTAACTGGTTTCCTTCCCTTACCATCAGTTACTGAGGAAGCAAGAGAGGAATGACCCTCCTCTCAAATGGACAGGACTCTTAAATCTTCAACAATGTTGTAAATAACATTGTATTCTGGTGAGAAATAAAACGGGAAAATATTACAGAGACTAAAACCCAGGCTGGTTTTTAAAAGACCACCTCTCTACCGTCAAACTGCAGTACAGGACACATCAGCTTCCGATAGCTTCAAACAAAATATCAAATTGATACAAATGAGCATCAAATATACAGATGGAAAGAAGATGTATGAGTGGAGTAGATTTGGGACAGGTTGTGCTGTGGGGTCATGAGGAAGTTCTGAGGCCTCAGGAGAAGGCTGACAGCAAGTCCCTCTCTTCCTTCCTTCTCGGTTATGCTGTGTAATGATTGGCTAATCACATAATCGCTCGGTTCTGTGTTTCTCATCTATAATATCATTGACCCACCACAAAGATGTGGATTAATTAAAGAGTCAAAAGTACTCTAAAATGCCCCAAGAGTGCTTAAAAATAACCTACCCCACATTTCTATGAGCAAATATAAACCTATTAACCGACCAGCTCCCCCCCCGCCGCCAACACTAAAAGCATTCCTGAGACTTTAATTTGGAAAGTTAACATTTAATTTTGGTAACAGTTGGTAAATGAAAATAAGGTAAAAGCTAAAGAACGGCAAAGCAAATCACTTTAGCATTTCCACAAACACTCCCTCTCTATCCCGCCGTGATTTAACTCTAAGTTTACTGACTGCCATAGAAAGCACTGAAGTTCCACCTACACCTGCAGTAAATAAACTTAGAAACTCCGATATTGCCAAACACGCTGACTGGCACTGCATTCATTTCCCTTCTCTTGCTTATTTCATTAGCCAAAAAAAGAAACAGAAATTATCATTAAGAACTGTCAAGGAGTGAATCAGAAAATTGTAACTTGAAGTTAAAATAAGAAACCAGCTCACTTGTGAAAGCCTTAAAAGGAAGTTAATAATACTTAGACTAAAAGCTTTGTAAGGAATCAAACCATTTGTTTTTACGAGTTGACCCGATTCTCATTGGTACCTCCTGAGGACCACATATCTATTCAACATGCAGCCTTCACAGGAAGCTACAAGTGTCTCGTGCCATTCTTAGGAGGCACTGGGCAATGATAAAGGTAAAGTGACTCAAGTGGCTTCTGGAAGAGAGTTAATGCGTAAGGAGAGCACGCTGATGCTTCTTGGATACAGAAAAACAGTGTATAAGTGGTGGGAAACACTGAGAAAGAGAGACAGGGCTCCTGCACAGTGGGTTCAGGGACAAGTGCCAAAGGGCTGGCCCAAGGAACAGAATGAGCCTGAGGAAAGGAAGCAGGGTGCAGCCCAGTTGGCCATAAAGCATTCCCAGAGTGAGGTGGGGTGCCCAGGATGGAGGGGGCTATTTGGAGAAAGGATCTGTTCCCGGAGCAAATTTTGCCATTTATAAGGGAGGGACTGTCATTGGTTGGCTAGAACCCTCCAAGAAATCCTCCTCAGAAACATACGGCTTCCGAGATTTTCCTGGGATTGGCCAGCTGGTACTGTCCTCACAACTCAGTGGGGGGCAGTGGGAAAAGACCCCGAGCTTCCCTCTTCTAGTTCCGGGCCGGCTGTTCTCAGTCTCAAATATTTGACTTCAAGTAGAGAAACTAAAATGGATTTGGCTAAAGCCTCTCACGTTAGGTCACCGAAACCCAGGCATTCTGCTTGTTCAGCAGTCACCTTCCCAAACTGCTCCACACAAATGGCCGACGACACAAGCTTGCAAGTGGGAGAGCCTCACGAAAGGGGGACTTGGGGAAGTCACCGCAAGTGGACAAAAGAGGACTTGCTTTTCTTGTTTGTACTCTTCCTCCCTTTCAGTCCTGCACAATGTGCATCTGTTTAATGGCCCACCCTGCAATAAGATTTCTTTCATCGGTATTTACAAAACTGTTTACACAGATGCACATACCGTCATGCTCTGACAAGGTCTCCAGTCTACGGAGTGAGAAGGGAAAGATCATAGGAGGCATTTCATAACCAAAGCACAAAAGGACTCAGTGATGGAAACAAAGGTGGCAAAGATACGGCTTAGTTGCACATTGTAAAGACTGCCTTAATCTTATCCATCATACCAAAAGAGAGTTAGCTGAATTTGAGATTGAGTCACATTAAGTAACCTATAAAAAGCAGATCTGAGTCCTCCCGTATTTTCAGAAAGTTGCCAGTGACACATCTTCTGGTTTCCTCTGCTGATCCAGAGGATTCCTTCGGCTGAGTTATTTTTATAATGGTGTGTCAGAGCCAGTTTGCACTGGCTTATTGTTATATTTTCAGAAATACGGCGAGCCAATTGTTAAACACAGGATTATTAAGAATTAAATGACGTCAATTTATAACTTTCTAAATATTATATTAAAAACAAAGGCGATAGGTACTCAAAACTCATCCCTTGCAAATTATTTTACTACGTGTTACTACTGATTATGTTCCAGAGCTTACGTCCATTTTATCTGTATGGTAGAAATACTAAATAAAGCTGCGTTGCTACTACACATCTCTTTCTGACTCCACCTCTGGAGCTGTCAGAATGATAGCTCCGAGTCGGAATATTTACATCACAGACGTATCAAATGCCACAGATGACATCTTTGGGCTTTTCTCCCATCAATCCCACCGTTAAACCCTTCCCAGCACACCATTGGCTCCATATAATTACAAGGCAGAAAGGAAAGGAAGGATGCTGTATACAATCAACCTGTGTTTTAAGCTGTATTATTAAAAGTGCTAAAGGTACTCCAATATTTTATTTAGATATGAATTCATCTCTAGGAGTCCAGAATTATCCACCACAGCATACTCCCTAGCTCCATGTTCTGGCTCTTGCCTTCCTTCTTTCTAAGGAATAATAATTCAGTCTCAATCTCTTAACTTTATATTCTCAGTGTCCAGGGTCATGCATCTACTGCCATTAAATATTCATCACTTGGAAAGGATGGAAAATAGTTTTAATCAAATAAGTTCTATTCTGCAAAACTATGTACAGCTAAACCATTCAATCTAAGGTAAAGAACCTAATTCCATAAGCCACCTACTAAAATTAGTCTCCTAACTTTATAGAACAAGTACACACATATGCTCATAAAAATGGGATGATCTGATTTAAAGTTTAAGTGAGGCAATTTAATTCAGGCAAAGCGAAAGGGAAATGTTCAAATGTCGGTATATAGATTAATTTTCCACTTTAGCAACCAATTTAAATGTTTATAAAAGGAATGTTTATAAATGACCTTCTCCACAAATTATTTATAACTATAGATAGGGCAAGCTCTTTCTAAAAATATTTTGCAAAGATGTGCAAAATTAATACGCTCACCTTAAATCTACCATAGGTCTTAGGAATTAGTAATAGAAATTTCTTCCAAGATGCTAAAAACATTAAAAAATATATAGTACTTGCAGTTTACCTGTGGTCCATGGGGTAGCTGCTGTCTTGTATGGGCTGCGAAGGAGGGAGGTGAGCTGGGAAGGCGCGGTCAGGCTTCGGAGTGTGAGTGGAGTTTGGAGATGCATGATGTAGTGGGGATACTGGGGTGCTGGACGGTGTTGGGGGGTTGGAGGGCCTCATTCCCACTTGTGGCTTCTGATCATAGGCACTACCCGAGGAACAAAAGAGAAGAGAACATCTGTTTCTTTGGAACGATTAAACAATTTTTCTTCCAACCCAAGAAAAGCAAAAAATATTCTAGGCTCAAGTCATAAGGAAGTGAGAATTTTATAAGTATTGGTTTTTTATAATCCTAAAACATGTAATCTGCAGAATCACCCACCACTTACACAGAAAATAGGATAATTAATACATAACTCGGTATTAGCATAAATATAAAACACATGTTTTAATACCTACACAAACAACTTAGTATACGGAAAAATCACTGTCTATGAGAGCACTGGAACTATGGAAATAATTATTGATGTATCTATTCTTGATATGTTTCCTTGAGCAAGTTGGATAGATCTTTTCTGAATCATTAAATATTTCTGATACTATCATTGTTCCATATTATGTAAGATTTTAGAACAAGACACTAACCTCAATTTCATAAGATGGAGACCATTCCTGGCTTGCCTTTATTTATGATAAAAATTTTTTTTTTTTTTTTATTTATTTGACAGAGAGAGACATAGCGAGAGAGGGAACACAAGCAGGGGGAGTGGCAGAGGGAGAAGCAGGCTTCCCGCGGAGCAGGGAGCCCGACGTGGGGCTCGATCCCAGGACCCCGGGACCAAGACCTGAGCCGAAGGCAGGCGCCCAACGACTGAGCCACCCAGGCGCCCCTATGATAAAAATTTTAAGAAGCCAATCCTTTCACCTTATTTTCATTTTTTAATATAAAATAAATGATGCCTGGCATTAACTTCCTCACATGGGATAATAAAGAGTAATGAGGCAAATTAAAATGTCTCTGACATAGTTAAACTTTCTTGGAGTATAAGAATAGGTACAAGGGCGCCTGGGTGGCTCAGTTGTTAAGCGTCTGCCTTCAGCTCAGGTCATGCCTGGGATCCAGCCCCGCATTGGGCTCCCTGCTCAGTGGGGAGTCTGCTTCTCCCTCTCCCACTCCTCCTGCTTGTGTTCCCTCTCTCACTGTGTCTCTCTCTGTCAAATAAATAAAATCTTAAAAAAAAAAAAAAGGTTCAAAATGAGGTTCTTAAAAAGAAAATCCTATTGTCATAGTCTAACTTTTAAACAGAATTACCAAGGAATAAAATGAGTAAGCTTGTTTTTATATACACTACGGATTTAAGTTGCTTTCCTTTGTTGCATTTCCTCTTGGGAATATGATTTAACTAATTTTTATAATCTAAAAAATATTTTACTAAGAATAAATTTTACTTAAATTTCTGAATAAGAAAGGTATTTCTAGGTTAAAATAATACATCTTTTAAAATAAAAAGTGATTATCAATACATAGTTTTTCCTTTTTAAAAAAGAAACATTCTTTTTGGATTAACTTCTGAAATAATTTATTCAGTTGCTACATCTATACCACAGAATTACATCCAAGCGCAAAAATACTTCACAGAAGTGTAGAGAAGTCAACTGTTGGCTTTAAAGCAAAGTCAAGAGAACTCATATTATGTTTGGTTCTACCTCTTTCCTTTACCAATATTTTTGAATGAGAAACCCCTTCTTCTACAAAATAGTTTGCCTGTCTTATTCCCATGTAAAAAGAAAAAAATGATCTATCTTCTGCCCTAGGACACTACTTTTTTTTTTCTCCATGAAATACTGTATTGAGTTATATTGTTCATATAGAAATGGAAGTACTAGACTGTGGAAATTATTGGTCCCCAAGAAGGACCTCAAAATATTCAGGTGATTTGTCTACTATTAATTTATGAATGTCAGATAGGTCATACAAAGCAGGAGCAATTTCATAGTCACACTTCTGATCAATGCTGAGATGCAATGACAATTATTTATCTATCTGGTTTATTAACTTGAAATTTTTCAGTATGTTAAATAATTATTCTGTGAATATACAGTACTCTTAAAGAGAAAATGCAAAATTTAAAAACACTATAAATAAAACTCAGATTGATCATTATGATTTTAACTGAATTCAGTGTGCTTTAATGGCTTCTACAAGAGATCTTTTTAAATAAAAGCTTTGCAGTTTCAAGTGAGCTGGCTCATAATTTCAGGCTCTGGTGATCCTCATAGAAAAGCAGATATAAAAGACAAGTTTGCAAGAACAAATAGCAATAAAATATCACAACACTGGTCAGCTGCCATGAGATTGCACAAATCTAAGTTTCTTAAATCTTAGATATCTTGGACATAACATTACATGCTGTAAATAGAATACAGAACACTCTTTTGGATCATAATGTATATGAACTTGAATCTATGTTAACTTCTAAAACTGCAAATATTTGTAATCATTTTTATAAGTTTCCAAATGAGCTCCTTTTAAGGACTAAGTTTCTACTGTAATTGAGAATAATGATACTCAATATACAGAGCCAACTTCTTCTCATGCAATTAGAGGCCAATATGAAAAGTAACAGAATGCAATTTACTGTGAAGGGTTTTTAATGAACATATATGTTATCAAATCTTCTAACAAATGAACAGAGTAATTTTACTGCTCCACCCTTTATTATCATCAAAAGGAACAACTGGCTTTTTAATAGATAATAGCCTGTACTAAGCCTTATAAAATTCTAACTTTATTGCAATTCTCCATGAACGCATCTTATAGATCATCGGCAAAGCCTGTCAGATAACTAATGTACTGCTCAGACCTGCCAAATGTTTCATTTTTTTCTACAGACTCTATCTAAAGTGCATAATGCATCCATTCTAATGAGAACCTTCAATAGCTGTTCATGCCAAGTAAGACCCTCTTTTCAAACACAGGATGCATCACTACAGTAGAAAAGCAACTAACGATTTGGATGAAAATTAATGCTTTAAAATGATTCTAAAAGTGTTTGATCGGATGGTGTATGGTTCTTCAGAGTTCGGCTAAACACATTAGCTAATTAGCCTGTTATGTGCTGAAGATGTAACTCAGATAAAATAGAACTTGAGAATTGATATTGTTCCGGATTTTTTGTTTTAGTCAGAACCACCACCCTCGCTATACACCTGACGGCTTTACCTGACATTATACAGGCACTTCTCTCCATAGCTGAATTTAAAGGGCTGCTCCTGACTGCAGGCAGAGCCGAGTTCTGAACATGGACTGTGGGGTTCCTTCTTGATTTTCAGTGGTAGGCCATGAAAAGCCACTAGAAAACAAACAAACAAAATATCCACACAAATGAAATGTTGTTAGGAATTAAGTCATCGGTTCGACTTCTCTTGGTTAAAATGCCACTAACATTTCATACTGACAAAGAAAAATCACATTTAATGAATTTCATGGAAGAAAAGATTCTAGAGAATCCTTGTATTTTCTGCTTTCACTGCTTAACAAATGCATGCTTGAACTCCCATTACTTAAAGTGAATTGCTTATAATTTGCTCAGCTGCTATTAATAATACTAGAAGCTCAATTTTCAGAAAGTTTTGAAAACATTTCCAAAAAATTTCCAGTGATTAAAGACGAAAAGCCTCAACTGATTATCCAAGAATTAAGTGAGGACTGGAACACAATTTTCAGCATTACTGAAAGGAAAATATCTCAAGCCCATGAAGAGTAATGGTTTCATGGAATGACAACTGGACTATAAGAAAGAAAATCCAAATGCAGGTCCAGTTGTAACTGATGATCATTCGGGCAAAAAACTCAAAATCTTTGAGGCCAATGCTCATCTATAAAATAAAGGTAAAAGTACCTGCCTATCTACTTACCAGTGTTATGAGATAAAATGTGAGAAATATGTGAAAATTATTTGTCAAATGACAATTTTTCTATATCAAATGATGTTTTATCCTTTTTCATGCAACTTAATGGTTATACTTATATTCATTAATGCTTAATATAATACAAACATCATATAAAATATGAAGGCTAGAGGAAATATGTATGTTTGGGAAGAATCAGCTTTAAAACCAATAAATAAATAACGCTATGTATGTTTTTATTCTTTTTCCTATTAGAGATCTTATTAGAAGTTTTAGTATAAATGGAAAATTAGTAAAAAGAAAAAGGGAAGTACACATGAGAATGGATTTTATTTTCATGTACAATATGCACAAATATGACTAATCAAGGGATAAACACAAGAAGAACACACATTCTGGAGATTTATTCTAACTCCTATAAGAACTGGAATTAAAACACAAAATACTGTTCTCTATAAAGGAAGATATGACAAGAGAAACTTCATGATTTATGATGCCATTCAATCTTGATTGTGACATGACAGCATTATAAACTTGTACTAGTTTGAACGTCATATATAATTTAACAGAGTAATTTGATATCAAGAGCTACCAAGCTATAGGCAAATATATGCTATTTGTTTGGATATGCATATAATTTTGACAGAAATGTTCTATGGTACTCAAGAGCCATCTGAAACACTGTAGAATATACATTTGCCAAAGAAATAAACAAATTTCACCTAAATTAGTTGTCTAAGAAAAACTTGATAGTGATAAACTAATTCCACTGGGTGGTCTATTTCAAAATATTTTCTTGATATACTGTGAGTTTAACATACCTACTTAAAGTAGAGAGTAGAGGAACAGAAACAAAGGAGAAATTACATGTGTTTTCATATGACAAGGGTACTCATGCTCTTTAACTTTACCAAGTCAGAAAGTTATAATTTATTAACCACTGAGACAGAAGAGATTTAAGAACATGAGGACTTGTTAGGATTCTAATTTGAAAAAACAACAGCTATAAAAAGGCAACTTGGTGACAAATAAGACATCTAAATATGAACTAGATATTAGATATTGAAGAAATTATTGTTCATTTTGTTGGATGTGAATATGGAATGGCAATTACACACACAGAAAAGATTTAAAGTTAGAGATTCATAAAGTATTTACATAAAATAATAAGATGTCTGGGATTTTCTTTAAAATAGTCTAGGAAAAATGATGTATGAGAGAGAAATCAAATTAGAAAAATATTGGTAAATGTTAAAAGCTGATTGATGGGTAGGTGGGAGTTCATTACATTATTCTCTTTCCTTTTAACTAAGTCCCAAATTGCACAATAAAAACTTTTTAAAATGTGAAAAAATCCACAAAGGATTTAAAGTAGTGTAAGAAAATTCTCTGCCTGTGTATACGTGTGTGTGTGTGCTGCTTCTTAGAATAACAAATATTGTATGATGAAATCACTGACCATACATGTGTTGCTTTCTTAACAAAGAGTTTTCAACTACTTAGTACTTCTTTGAACATATACAGTATAATGTGTATGCCTAAGTTTAGCACTTTGGATTACATATTGGGTTTTACACTTTCCTAAGAAAAAACAGTAGCAACACATCGGAAACTCAATTTGTCATTCATAGTAGCACCAAATTATTATACCTGAGAAATCGGATCTAAGTCGTATGAATAAAAGTAGGTGAGACCTCAGGAACTAATAAAAACACAGTATGATGCAAAGTTTATCATATTTATCAAAATACCAGATTTATCAGAGACTACTATATCCAATAGTAGTATATTTTAAAAGTCTTTGGGACCATGAGGGAGAATAGGGTTAACAAACAGGACACTAAAAGCACTAACCATAAAATAGAATAACCTATAAATTACGCTTCACTGAAATTCAGAATTTCTCTTCATCAAAAACACTATTAAAAGACTACAATGTAAGCCACAGACTTTTTTTTTTGTATAGAAAGCTCTGACAAAAAGCTCATATTCAGCATAGTAAGAATTGCTACAAATTAATAAGACAAAACAAATGACCCAATTTAAAAAGTGGGCAAAAGTCTTGAACAGGCACTTCATAACAGAAGACATAGACATCCAAATGGTAAAACAAACAAATGAACAACAAAAAGCCTATGTAAAAAGGTGGTCAACATCTTTACTGATCAGGAAAATGCAAATAAAACCACATAAGATAATCATTATACACACACTAGGATGGCTAAGCTGCAAAAGATCGACATTACCAAGTTTTGAAGAAGACCTAGAGTCAACAGGAACTTTTATATATGCTGCTGGGAGTATAAATTTGATATCAACACCCTGGCAAACTTTCTGGCAGTATCCACTAAGGCAGCAACATAAATGTACCCCATGATCCAGGAATTTCCATCTTAGGTATATATCCAAGAGAAGGGACTGCATATGTTCACCAAAAGACATGTCTAAGAATATTCATAGCAGCTTTATTCAACATAGCAAAAACTGGAAAAACTCAAATGTTCATTAGCAGGAAAATGGGTAAATAATTCATGGCATAGGGCGCCTGGGTGGCTCAGTTGGTTAAGCGACTGCCTTCGGCTCAGGTCATGATCCTGGAGTCCCAGGATCGAGTCCCACATCAGGCTCCCTGCTCAGCAGGGAGTCTGCTTTTCCCTCTGACCCTCCTCCCTCTCATGCTGTCTCTCATTCTCTCTCTCGCAAATAAATAAAATCTTAAAAAAAAAAATAATTCATGGCATATTCACACAATGAAATACTATGCAGGAGTAACAAAGAACAAATTACTGACACACAAAGAAATATAGATGTGAAGTTGAGTAAAAGAAGTCAAGCACTAAAGAGTATGTAGCATTTGAATTTCAAGAACAGACCAAACTGAATGAGAGAAAGAATTCCCTTCCGCTGGTAAATGGGAGTGTTAATTCCTGAGAAAGGGCACTAGCAACCTGCTACAGTACTGGGAATATTTTATACCTTGCTCTGAGTGGCACTTCTATGAATGTATACATACGTAAAATTCACCAAACTGTGCAGTTAAAATTTTACATTATCATAAATGCATATCTCAACTAAAAGGCTAAAAATATGAGGGGCATCAAGCAATGCTACACAACTTAAAATATTTGAATATGTCTGGCCTCCTGTTCCAACAGAGACATCTGAGAACGGGTCCTTGGAAGTGTGTTTTATTTTTAATTTCATAGGATAAATGATTCCAGATGAGTCAGGGGAGGAGTGACAAGTCTGGGGTGCCATCACGGATGGTTGTTAGCCTAACAGTAGCCTCCTATCAAAGTGTCTACTGACATTAACTTAAAAGAAAAAGCACGATCCATCCTAATGGAGACACTGTCTGAAGCACTATTTTCAGACTGGCTCCATGAGCTCCCTAACTTGACTTTAGATGAAGAGATGCAAGGATTCCCACAATGCTACTAGAGGCAAGTTGATCCCTAAACTTAAGATGTTCAAATCTGACCCATCATCAGATTTAACCAGGTACTTTTGAAAAACAAAAAACAAACAAACAAAAAAACAGGGATTCCCAGACCTCAGATGTTATAGGTTGAATTATGACCCCTCCAAAATTCATGGTGAAATCCGAACCCCAATACACCTCAGTATGTAACCTTCTTGAGAAGATTAGTTAAGATGAGTCAATAATCCAATATGACTCATGTCCTTATAAAAAGGCATTAGGATATAGAGACCCTCACAGAGGACAATGCCACATGAAGATGAAGGCAGTGATGATGCTATGCTTCTACAAGCCAAGGAATGCCAAAGACTGCCAGCAAACCATCAGAAGCCAGGAGAGATGCGTGGACTAGATTCTCTCTCCGAGCGCTCAGAACCACCCTACCAACACCCTCATCTTATACCTCAAGCCTCCAGAACGGTGAGACAGTAAATGTCTGTTTTTTAAGCCACTCCGTTTCTGATACTTTGTTACGGCAGCCCTAAGCAAACTAATACACCACTTCCAGAAATGACAATTCACTAAGGCTAGGCTATAGATCAGGATTCTGTATCTTACAAAAATTTCTAGGTGATTCTCATAACTGGGCTAACTTCAAATCCACTGTGATGCTTATCCATATCTGGATCCAGTGTGTGCTGCACCGGAATAGATGCAGTACTTGCAAAGACTTTAAAAAAAAAAAAAAATCTAACAATGTCTTTCTATTCAGTAGATGCCCGCACTTGAGGATTTCCCAGGTTCTCCAAATCCAGAGGTTTCGTGCTCCCCCACTCCTAACATAACTCCACAACATCAATGTGTCTCTAACACGTGCAACGTGTGTGGGCCTCTTAATCATTACGGGCCCTTGGAACTGTGATTTTTTTTTTTTTTCTAATTGTAAGACAAATAAGTAATCCAATAGATTTGAGTTGGCTTGGAATTTTTAATTGCTGTGGGGGGGAAAAAAGAAGCTAA